TTAAAATGATTTCTGAAGGTCCATGTGACACTGAAGACTGGAGTAATGATGCTGAAAATTCAACTTTGCTTCACAGGAATAAATTTCATTTTAAAATATATTCACATAGAAAACAGTGCTTTTAAATTGTAATAATATTTCACAATATTACTGTTTTTACTGTATTTTTGATCAGATAAATGCAGCCTTGGTGAGCATAAAAGACCTCTTTCGAAAACATTTTTCAAAAAATTCTACCAACCCCAAACTTTTGAAAAATAATGTACCTGCAATCGTCCTTCATTCTATAAAACATCATGGTTGCACTTTATTTTACAGTACGTGTACTTACAGTGTACCTACCTAAGAAAGTACTGGTAATATAAGGTAACTACATGGGGTAAGGTTAGGTTTAGGGGTAGGTTCAGGGTAAGTACCTAGTTTTTACCTAGTTATTGTAATTACTAAAATAAGAACATAGTATGTATGAGTAACAGGACTGTAAAACAAAGTGCTACCAACATCATATATATCAAGACAGAGAGACAGTTAAGCTAAAAATCTGGCATGTGTACTACTGTAAATTAATAAATAAATGTACCTGTCATGGATATACTCCCCCTCCTTGTGGACCTGATTTTGCAGAGTGAAGTTGAAATGAAAGCGTTCCACTTTCTCACGATGAAAGATCTTGACATTGGACTCGTACTCCTCAAACTGGAGGTACTTGATCTGGTCAGGAAACCACGCTCCCAGGCCATAATAGCTGTGTGGTGGAAGATTGATTTATACTGTAGGTTGTTTACTGGTAAAAGAGTCATTTTGCTCACTTCCAAACCTACTGAGCTGCCTACAGAGAGATCATTATTTACATGCTCCAGACATGATGGAGACTAAAGATACCTCATTAGGCAGCCTGACATGCAACTTTTACTGAAAAGGCAATCACAGAAGTGCAGTCAAAAAAATCTTCAAAGATGGCAGATGAAACAAGAGAAATGTTGATTATAAATATACTCATAATTCATTCTACACAGTAAAATACCTCTAAATAATAATAATTAAAATTATATTATAAGAGTACTTTTTAATTAGTGCATGCCATATATTTAATAGGCATAGAGAACAATTTTATCATACATTCACACTTCCTTAAGTAGCGCAACACTTTTCAACTAACAATTGAAAATAATAATGAATAAAAAAGAAGAAATGTTTCTTGATTTCGGAAGGATCATGTCACACTGAATGGCTGCTAAAAATTCAGCTTTGCCATTAAAGAGAAAATTATATATATATATATATATATAATATATATTTTTTTATCAAATGAAAGCAGCCTTGGTGAGCATAAAAAACTTTCAAGAACATAAACAATCTTACTGACCCCAAAAGTTTGAACGTTAGTGTATTAATATATGTTTTTAAATATTGTTTGAAATAATTAAAACTTATTTTATTACATTGCATTTGTTTATTTAATTATTTAACATTTACATTTGTTTGTATATTTATGTTTTTTTATTTTAACTATTATTTTTATTATTTTAAACATTATTTTGCACGCTCCCAGGCCATAATAGCTGTGTGGTGGAAGATTGATTTATACTGTAGGTTGTTTACTGGTAAAAGAGTCATTTTGCTCACTTCCAAACCTACTGAGCTGCCTACAGAGAGATCATTATTTACATGCTCCAGACATGATGGAGACTAAAGATACCTCATTAGGCAGCCTGACATGCAACTTTTACTGAAAAGGCAATCACAGAAGTGCAGTCAAAAAAATCTTCAAAGATGGCAGATGAAACAAGAGAAATGTTGATTATAAATATACTCATAATTCATTCTACACAGTAAAATACCTCTAAATAATAATAATTAAAATTATATTATAAGAGTACTTTTTAATTAGTGCATGCCATATATTTAATAGGCATAGAGAACAATTTTATCATACACAACAGTACAATTTTTTTTTGAAGAAATTGATACTTTTATTCAACCAGGACGCATTCAATTGATAAAAAGTGACAATAAAGATAATATAATGTTACAAAAGATTTCTGTTTCAAATAAATGCTCTTCTTTTGATCTTCATTCATCAAAGAATCCTGAAACACTTTCACACTTCCTTAAGTAGCGCAACACTTTTCAACTAACAATTGAAAATAATAATGAATAAAAAAGAAGAAATGTTTCTTGATTTCGGAAGGATCATGTCACACTGAATGGACTGCCTATGTAGAACATTTAAAAAATCGTTTATGAGGTTCTCTGACTGTTAGGATAGGCTAAGTAGAAAGTCGGCAGAGAGAAGCTCACTATATCAGCTATGAAGCTGCTCTATCAAGAGCTGCTCACCTGAAGGCCATCGTAAACCACACAATAGCAATGAACAAACCATGGAGTCTGAGATCAGGTGCGGCCAGCGACATCATGTTCTTCATGACCTTTTTTTGGAGAAAGATGGAAACAATCACTGCATTTGCTTTGATTTGCATGCTTCAATGCTTTTATCATCTGCCAGACAAAAACTGTAATTCTGAACTCAAAGAAAGGTAATGGTACACCTCTCCTCAACAAGCCTTACACTTTTAGCCATCATTCAGGTCTTTAGCTCAAATGGTGCATACCTGTTTAACCAGGGTCATCTGTCTGACCATGAATCTCTGGAAGGCAGTGCCAGTTTCACTCTGAATCTCTATGAACTCGTCATCCTGCGTTTGAGGCGTTTTGATCTGTGAAACCTGAAAGAGAGGGATTTATTTCATAGGTAAGAGCATGTACGCTGATAACAGGATTTATCAGGTATCGCCAATTCAGTTATTAAAATCAAGCCTTTACTCAGTAAACTCATCACAGACACGGAGCTGGTTTTCTAGGGTCAGTTCTGCTGCTTTGCTGTTATTTAGTGGTCTAGTAGTTTAAAATGAACATCTTTACTTGAAACGCTCTCTCTGGCTCTCCCTTCGCCCTCCAGTTAGTGTCGTGAACCTGCTTCAGGATCATCCAGGCCTCATCGTGTCTTGCAGTCTGAAATTCCAAAAAAAAAAAAAAAAAAAAATCCCATGAATTTTTTTGTAGCCCAGGGCTTTTTAACAGGGTGCACACCAATTATTATTTGAACTCATTTTTACACAAAAGGAATTTTCTTTTGTGTTTTGACATTTTGACAATCAGCACATCATTCTATAAAACTCAAAGCAGTGCTGGGCAAAACAACAGATATTTTACAGAAATTAATATCTAACTAAAATATTTTATTTTATTGATATTTTATTTGCTCATTTATTTTATTACTGTTTTAGACACTGATGATGATGTGATATTGAAAATGTTTTGTCTTTATCTGTGCACTTTTTATTGTGCACTGAGCACTTTTGTATTATTATGGCATCTGAATAAAGACGTTTGGAAATATTTTCTCGAAGGACATTGTGTGCAGGCTTTTGTGCTTTTTTACTCAGATTTACTGATTTGTCATGATGTTAATAATGTGTCACATGAATATCAACTGAAATAACTTTCCATGAAATTTCAATAAAATTTTGGAATTTGAGAGGGAAAAAATGAACAAATATGTAATATATATATATATATATATATATATATAA